TTAGCCAGGAGGCAACCTCACCCTCAGGTGGTTTTCAGGCTGGTCCTGAGTAGAAATTAAAATTTGTAGAAGCTAAAAAATTGTTCAGTCTAAGAAAAGTTAAAAATACCATTACAATAGAATCTTGAGATAAAATGTAAAATTCAATAACAAAATTAGAGAACATAGTTTATATAGGCTTCATAAATTAATCAAGGCTATTTGCACTTCGTGTAGACATTGGAAGACTGTTCCATTCGTGTACAAATACAAAATATAACCAAAGAAACAAATTAAAAAAAAGAAAAAACCAACTATTATAAAGAAAAACTACTTACAATAGTTAAAAATCAAGTAAACGGACAAGAACTGACGATGAAGCAAACGCGTATTGATGAGAGATGAAGCATCTCAGTGCCGCGATTACGTAATCCTCGCATAACCTCTTGCAAAACGCGAATTTGATATGTTCAATATAAATTATTTCACAGTTCTAATAGTAAGCTTTTTCTGTAAATTCTAGTTGCTACGACGAAAAGATTTTTTGTGTCCTTAAAGATGAACTTTATAAGGAAGGATTGCTGAAGACACCAATCATTGTATATGTCGGCTTGAGCGGCCGGTTTTCCTCCACAGCGAAAAAAAGATTTTAGGATTCTGTCCTCACGATTAATTATAGGCCTCTTCTTTTAGCAGTAATAACGTTTTCAATTGACCATAATGAATATTTGCCTTTGTAGTTATTTCAATTACCGTTTTTGTTTTTCGAGCGCTATTCATCATCGTAAACTTTGTTTGTGACTGCAGAAAACTGACGTCATCATGATTAAAAATATACTTCTGCTGTCTCCAAGTTCAAACTTTTTTAAGACTCTATAAATTTATCTTTAGCTGTTTAAAAAGAGTCGCCCCCCCCGAAAGATTAAGATCAGATAAATTACACTTGTAAACTTGAGCCTTATGCTTTTTAGCTTCACCCCTGAAAACATAGCATTACGCCAAAACTAATTGCTCGAGATTTTTCACTACGCTTAATGTCTTAAGAGGCTGTCTCTCTTATTTCCACTCGGTCAATTTCGCGTCAAAAATAATTTTGCCTGAAACTCTGTCAACAGAAATACTTTACTTGGGAAAGAACTAAATTAGGTTTGGTTTGATTCGAAATAATTTTCTGACTGCGTTAGGGGCCACAGTTATTTCCCAGTCCGTAGGCAACGTCTCGAAAATTGAAAAATAGGCATATTTTGAAACATTGTAAAATATTTGATTCGCATAGTTAAGCCACCGAATTTGTATCAGATTGTTTAAAAACCTTACTAGTTTGCCAAGAAAGTTAGAATTTGCCCTCTCAATATATCTGAAAAGGCGAATTTTAGGATATTCTGACCCCTTCAAATCGCCATCGGCCGATGGTCGCAAATAACCTTGATTTATACGTTAAGCCCTGGTCAAACGGCGCATGATAGTCGATGATAGTTGATGATAGTTTGAAGAGAATCAACTATCATCGAATATCGTGTGCCGTTTGACCAAGGCTTTAAGTTTTAGGATTTGGGACCTGGTTGACAACTCTATCCTACACTGCCGTTAAGTTTAGACCTTTATAGGCAAAAAAAAATGCAAAAACCCCAGTACGTTTTCGATTTTTTAAAAGTTCTGATCGTTTGAATCAGCACATGTACGAGCATTCGCGATTTCATCACCTACACCAAAATCGAACTACTGGAGCAGATTTCGTAATAAATACAACTTACCCGCTTTGCAGCCCGGCTTCATGGCTAACTTCAGTATTTTTGTAATAACCAAATTGCTGAAATTCATGACGACCTCAACAAATTGCTAGGTATTGCCATCGAAAACCATCGTGATTCGATCGTGGTATCAAAACAAATGGTTGGAATTATGGCCACATTTCGTAGTTAATTACCCATTTACTTCCGAGGGGAATTTTTCCAGAATCAGAATATGCATGAACTCTCCATGTCTGGAAGCTGAATGGGAAATGAAGGTTTTAGGCTTCTGGAGTGAAGAAATAATCGCTTAAAGTTAGATCACGACGATCTAGTTCGATGTTGTACTGTTCTCACAAAGGTCCGCAGAAAAGAGAAGACCGCTGATAGCTTGTGCCGTACGCTGTGTCGTATGATTTTGTTCTATCCCAATTTAGACCTCAATGTGATATCTGGGGAGAAAATTGTGGCTGAAAAGAATAAATGCTTTTAAGCCGGACTTTGATATGATACAATTAATAAATTAATTTCAAATGTCCTGAGCTTGCTTCTCTCGGTTCCGCGTCGATTGTGTCCACAGACCAGCAACTTGTCAATAGCCGGAGAAATCGGCTACAAACGTGATAAAAATTTTGACACACGCTAGGTATGAACAGATGTTATAAGTGTTGCTTCTGGTAAATGTTCAATCGTTTCTAAAAAAAAATATCACTAATTGCGACAAGCTGAACACACTTATCCCTGTTTTCGTTAAAAATGATTTTGACTTGAAGAGCAAGGCTCAGTAAGTTGCCTATATCGTGTATCAGACAGTGCTTGACATGTCGTCAAACTAGGTACTATCTTTCACTGATTTAGTTCAGAATTCTAAGTGAGTAAAGCACGAAAAAATTTAATGTCACAGATATCATAAGCTTTAAGTATTGCACTATAACAACGCCGTCAGAGCTTGATATCGGAACTAAAGGAAGTTTGTACCTGTAGACAATATTCTACACGTTCAGCAACTGACAACTGACATTGTTTAAGTAAGTCTACTGTGAAACACACTGACAACCCTTAATCACGTCGGACAGTTTGTCTACGAGGATCTGCTTTTTGTCTCTCAGTTTTACAGGGACCTCAAAATGACTACAGATGGCTCGCAACAAAACCACGTTGAATTTCTGAAGTGCGTTACTGTGGTACCGTTCACAGAGGTCGTACGTGTCGTAGCAGATTGGATGCGAGACTTTGATCTCTTTGTTAACTTTGTCTACCAGATCTTGTCTCTCGGAATTCTCCTGGACGCATTGGACATCTTCCTGCTCGTCCAGCGATATCCCGATCACACCCTGATCTTTGCGTCGCACTGCTGCTAGCCGGGAGAAAAAGCTCTGAAATTGGCTCTTTGTCAGCCACCGTTCTCTAGCGAACAAACGATTCATTTGATTCATTTTTCGCATTTCGCATGTCCACTGCAACTTGGGCGGGGTCTGCCTTTCGCCCAGTTCTTTCTCCAGGTGTAACCCGTGCCATTAGTTATTCTTTTACATTCTCTTAAAATCTAACACTGCCCCGCGGTTTGCTTGCGGCCCATCCTGTTCGTAGAGGCGAGAGGGACGAAGTATCCCCAGGAGAAGTGAGTGGTATACTGGAATCCGACGAACAGCTCCAACACTCGATACCAGCGGTATCTATTGACGAGAACTTAAGGGCCCAGTCCCTTTTGACTGCATCATACTGGCTTAACCTGCTGACTGTATGCTTTCCAACGTCTAGATGGAGCTCTAGTTGCAAAAACGTTTCGAACACTTCAACACACCCAAGCACAGAGCATTCAAATTTTGGCGTTGTAATCTCTGTTTCCTTGCTGTCCTTTGAACGACGCTTGACCACACGCTTTTCAGGAGGATCATAAAACCCTTGAGATTCCATGGTTTGAAGGGACGTTTCACCTTGGTGCTTGATATAAATCACGTCATTTGGGATGTACTTCCCTTTACCGATGCCATAACATTTCCAAACTCTCAGACCGGTATCTCCATATTCGAAGTTGTGGAAGCTAATGAAATGCTCAATCTTATTTATACAGAGAGTGTTCTTTGATTCGTCGACTATGCTAACTGCAGCGGTTATTCCCTTCACTGAGTGTTGCCTCAATGCATCTCTTATGTCCACAGCAGTTAGAACATCGTGCCCTTCGTTGCAGTAAGCGCGATTAGAGGACTTCATTGGGCAGAAGATACGATCGCAAATGTCTTTACCAGACTGTGGCTCCGAGTTGTGATAACTATGAACTTCAACCCCAACTCCTTTTGCGACATCTCTCACAGCGGTTGCTAGGGAGCTGTTATGATAGCAACCGGCTTCATCTGACCTCAGATGAACTTTCTGCAGCAAAGGATTCTTGACTTTCAGCTGCTTTAGAAGATCTTCGAGAATTGACGTAACTACATACCAGTCCTGAGTACACTTATCAAAGAGGTGAGCGTACGAGATGACTTCCATCGTGTTAGACTGGCTTCGAGACACAACGCTACTAATGTGCCAACTTAACCCTCTTTTTCCGTACCAGTCACTTTGCTTCTCTCTATAGCGCAGCTGCACAGACTTCATGGCCCAATCTATAACAAGAAGACACAAAGTCTGGTCAAGCTTTACGATGATATCTGGCTTTGCACATTCCTGATTCACGGACCTCATAATGTGAGCTTTCCACTGAACGATAGCCTCCGAAGATTTCTGGATATCGTACAACAAGTCATTTTTTTGGTCGTCGCTGTAAAAAACTAAGGTTTTGTTATCCTTAACAATCTGTTGCATCTTCTGCAAAACGGAAGTAATTTCGTCGCATTGAGAGCAGAGAAGCGTGTGTTGATATGAGCATTGTTCCTAGAAATCTGGATCGTTTGGATCGCTGAGACGAAACTTACGACAGTGGTCGGGACATTCGCTCGCATCTTCCTGGCAGTGACTCTGAAACTGGGTTTTGAGGTACCTCTTACCCTCGCCGAGGGCTCTTCGCNAGATGGCAAAAGCAAATTGAATCGAATGAAGTAGAGAAAAACATAGTGATAAGGTTGTTGTTTGTTTTAGTTTCACAAACTAAAATTCACCGCAGATTAATGGATACCTTATTTCTCTATCGCCCATCTTATTTTCCATAACGACTTTTTTACTGATTTGTTGTGTTCCCAGACGCCCCATCTCACATTACACAAACTACTTGGCATGGTCATGTCAAATGTAATGTAAACCACACAAATTAAGCTTTACATTTTTAGGGTAATCACCGCGAGAAGTAACATCTATCTGAATAATTCAAATAAATCTGGAAAAAAAATTAATTTTACCAGTTTCACACTGCTTTCCAAAATATCCGGGTTGACAAACGCATTTGAAGGGTCCGTCTCTGAACGATATTCCTGTACACTTCCCACGACTGGAACAGATTTCACTTCCGCAAGAATTCTGTAAAATAAAGAAAAAATGGGCTGCATAAATCAGCAGGAAATACATTCATGAATTACGTATAAGGATATCTTTTCGCAAAAAAATTAACCTGGGAGCTACAAAGTTGAATAAGAAGTATACTGGAATACCTATGTTGGAAATTCAATCATGAAACATCCCAAGACATTGACAACAAAAAAACAGCTAGTTCCTTTATTATTTTAGTCTCAGAGAAAGAGAAAACGAAAACCGAAACTGCTAAGTGCTAAAATACCTGGGAAATGCTGTAATGGTGTGATCCGTGATCTGCTACTAATTTTGCATCAACAGTGTTCACGATGGACGAAAGAAGTTCACACCAATACTTCCCTTTTTCACTAGCAACGGCAGCAACGTTAAATGAAACACAGAAGATATTTCGTAGACAAGCAAAGCTGCAGTCAATGGGGTCGACAACAAGTCTTTTGTCCAGAGGAGTGATGTCCAAGTAATGAAAAAGGCTTATCTCAAATGACGCGGTCGTTAATTCTGGTATTACCCTTTGTAAATTCAAAACAAGCGCTATGGTGAGGGCAATCTTCCGCATTCTCCTTGTCGTTAAGACTTGCCTCTCAAACAGACTCCTTCGAGAAATGATTATTCTCGGTACAAAAACCAATGTGCATCTGCGATGCTTTATGTTGCTTTCACATGAAACGCACCGCGGTCCTAAAATAAGTATCAGTGATCGTTTCCAAAGA